CATGTAAACATGGAAGAGGTAAAGTCTCCATCTTTCTTTAAGGCTGCATAATATTCCATGGTGTACATATACCACAATTTATTGATCCATTTGTAGGTTGATAGGCACTTGGGCTTCTTCCATGACTTAGCAATTTATAAACTGGGCTGAAATAAGCATTCTGGTATAAATATCTTTGTTATAATGTGATTTTTGGTCTTCTGGATATATACCTAGTAGAGGAATTGAAGGATTGAATGGCAGGTCTATTTTTAGATCTCTAAGTGTTCTCCATTTTTCCAAAAGAAATGTATTAGTTTTCATTCCCACCAACATTATAGAAGTGTTCCCTTTTCTCCACATCCATGCCAACATCTCTGGTTTGCAGATTTTCTGATGTGGGATAATCTTGCTGGACTTAGATGAAATCTCAAAGTAGTTTTGATTTGCATTTCTCTGATGATTAAGGATGATGAACATTTTTTCATTTGTCTGTGGACTGTGTGCCTGTCTTCTTCAGAGAAGTTTCCCTTCAAGTCCTTTGCCCACCCTGAGATGGGATCACTTGTTTTTTCCTTGCTAATACATTTGAGTTCTCTGTGGATTCTGGTTATTAAACCTTTGTTGGAGACATAACCTGCAAATATCTTCTCCCATTCTGAGGGCTGTCTGCTTGCTTTACTTACTGTGCTCTTGGCTGTGCAGAAGCTTTTCAGTTTGATCATGTCCCAGTAGTGTATTTTTGATGTTGCCCTGGGGGTCCTCCTCATAAAATATTCACCCAGGCCAATTTCTTTAAGAGTTTTCCCTGCACTTTCTTCTAGTATTATTATAGTTTCATGTCTTAAGTTTAAATCTTTATCCAGTGAGAGTCTATTTTAGTTAATAGTGAGAGGTGTAGGTCCAATTTCAGTCTTCTACAGGTCACCCAGCACCATTTGTTAAATAGGGAATCTTTTCCTCATAAATGTTTTTAATTGGCTTGCCAAAGATCAAATAACAGTAGTAGCTGGGTTCATCTCTTGGTTCTCTATTCTGTTCCATACATCTATCTCTCTATTTTTGTGCCAATACCATGCTGTTTTGATCACTATGGATTTATAGTATAGTCTGATGTCTGGTAGCGTGATTCCTCCTGCTTTGTTTTTATTTCTGAGAAATGTCTTGGCTATTTGAGGTTTTTTTCTGATTCATATAAAATGAAGTAGTATTTTTTCCAGATCTTTAACATTTGACAGTGGAGCTTTAATAGGGATTGCATTAAAATTGCATATTGCTTTGGGTAGTATGGACATTTTAACAATGTTGATTCTTCCCAGCCATGAGCATGGTATGTTTTTCCATTTGTTAACATTTTCAGCCATTTCTTTTCTCAGAGTTTCATAGTTCTCTTTATAGAGATCTTTCACATCCTTCGTTGGGTAAACTCCCAAATATTTCATCTTCTTTGGCACTACTGTGAACAGAATAGAGTACCTGACTGTTTTTTCAGCTTGACTGTTGTTGGTATATATAAAGGCTACAGATTTATGAATGTTGATTTTATAACCTGAGACACTGCTGTATCCTTAATCACTTCTAATAGTTTTGTAGTAGAATCCCTGGTATTTTCCAGATATATAATCATATCATCTGCAAAGAGTGAAAGTTTGATCTCTTCTGACCCTGTATGGATACCTTGATCGCCTTTTCTAAAATGTCCATTACAATGTTAAAGAGCAGTGGAGACAATGGGCATCCTTGCCTGGTTCCTGATCTGAGTGGAAATGATTTCAATTTAACTCCATTCAAAACAATATTGGCTATAGGTTTGTTGCAGAAGGCCTCTATCAGTTTAAGACATGTCCCTTCTATACCAATTTTCTTAAGTGTTCTGATCATGAATGGATGCTGGATATTATCAAAAGCTTTTTCTGCATCAATTGAAAGAATCATATGGTCTTTCTTTTTTAATTTGTTTATGTGATGAATTATATTTACAGATTTACATATGTTGAACCAGCCTTGAGATCTTGGGATAAAACCCACTTGGTCTTGGTGTATAATTTGTTTGATGTGTTGCTGGATTCTGTTTGTTAGGATTTTGTTGTATATAGGTACTAGTTCCTATTTAAGGGTTTGGTAGAATTCTGACATGAAGCCATCTGGTCCCAGGCTTTTCTTTTTAGGGAGATTTTGTATAGTTTCCACTTCATTCTGGCTAAGTCTTGGGAGGTGATGTGCTTCCAAGTATTGGTCAATTTCCTTCAGATTTTCATATTTCTGAGATTAAAGTTTCTTGTAATATTCATTAAGGATTTTTTAAATTTCTGAGGGGTCTGTTGTTATTTTGTTTTTGCCATGTCTGACTGGTGAAATTAGAGATTTTACTCTATTCTCCTGGTTAGGTTAGCCAAAGGTTTATTTTTATTGACCTTTTCAAAAAACCAACTTTTTGATTCATTGATCTATTGTATAATCCTTTTTTTTTCAATTTCATTTAATCCTGCTCTAATTTTGGTTATTGAAAATATAGAACGCTTCACAAATTTGCACGTCATCCTAGCACAGGAGCCATGCTAATCTTCTCTGTATGGTTCCAATTTTAGTATATGTGCTACCGAAGTGAGCACTAGGTAAGTTTTTTGACCCATTCTCTCTCTCTCTCTTCTCCTTCTGATAATTCCATGTTGAATATATTGGTTTACATAACAGTATACTGTAAGTTCCTTCTGGCTTTCTTCCTTTCTGCTTCTTTTTGAAGAGATGGAGTCTCAGTATGTTCCCCAGGCTACATTTAAACTTCTGGGCTCAAGCAATCCACCTGCCTCAGCCTCCCAAGTAGCTGAGATTACAAGCATGCGCCACCCTACCCAGATCTTTTTTCTTTTGATCCTTTGAATAATTTCAAATGACCTGACTTCAAGTTGACTCATTCTTTCTTCTACTTGATGGGGAATGCTGTTGATGCTCTCTATAGAATTTTCAGTTCAGATTTTATATTCTTCAGCTCCAGAATTTTTATTTGGTTCTTTGCTTTCTTATAGCTTCTATATTTTTGTTATTTTTACAATGTTCATATATCATTTTCCTCATTTAGTTTAGTTGTCTGTGTTCTACTGTAACTGACTGAGTTAAATAATTTTCTTTAGGACAATAAGTTTGACTTATTTGGCAATTCATAAAACTTCATTTCTTTATGGTCAGCCACTGGATAGTTATTTTGGTCCTTCACTGTCCTCTTTGTAGCTTTCCTTTGGTGTTTGCAGATATAAAGTAATGCCCACCTCTCTTGGTCTTTATGAACTAACTTCAATGGTGACAAAAGATTGCCCAGCTAAGCTTGTGAGCCTCTCAAACCTTATCTGTGGATGTGCACACTCCATTCCTCTCTCCCTCCTGGGTAGTCTCAGGATTGTTTAACTTTTCCTCCCACTATCACAGAGACATGCTGGCAGAAGTAAGTTGCCCATCTCTCTTCCCTAGAGCAGTACACTGAAAGGCCAGCATACGTGCTTTTTACTCCTCTCTTTCTTTACTAGGGGATAAGATCAGAATTATGTTATGCACCTTCTCCCATCTGGCAGAGCTTTACTGGCCAGTTAGCTGTCCTCCCCTTTTCTCTAGATTACTGTACTGAAAGGCTGGGACACTGGAAGCCTACTCCAACTTCTCTCACTCCCTTCTTAGGGGGAAATCCTAAGGTTGTGCACTTTTCCTAGTCTAACAAAGCTATGTTAGTTTCAGTGAGCCTTCCACTCGAGTGCTTTGTTCTTAGCTGCCCTCACATGTTTATACTATCCTTGTTACTTCAGGACTCTGGGTGAGGCAAGGTAAAAAGAGGTCAGTCAAGCAGCACTCAAAAATGCCAGGAATACTGGAGGTACACTGTACACCCTCTTTCATCCCTATGGAGGAGTCAAAGACTAAAGCAAATTCTCTCTTGACCTGCTTCGGGGAGAGGCTGATGCAGTTAAAGTGAAATTGTCTTCTTACCTGTTGTAATATGTTGTTCTCCATTTTATGCTCCTTTAGGGTACTACAACTTCTTCACTAGATTCTGGACCCTCATAAAGGTATTTTGCTCAGTATATTGTTGTTAATCTGTGTTGCTGTTGGAGAGCAAGGTCTGAGACTTCTTATTCCATCAAATTCCTTATGCCATCAAAGGCTACCATTTTTTGGTTAGGTTCGATTTTGCCACAAAGCAGAAATTTCTCTGAGGAAAAATGCCAAAATAAACAGAGCTCTCCTTGTGTGCATCCCTTATCTCAAAGATTACAGCTCCTCAAGATCCTGCCTACATGCAGTTGTTTTTAAATATTTTCCCCAGATTTTAGAACTTTTATTCTAGCAAACTATCTGTCAGATATTTAGATACAGAAGTTGATTCCAGGTAGCTAAGGTTTAAATCCAAAAAAATGATTCTTTGCTTCCTCAGGGAAAGAGTGCTTCCAAATGTGGCTGCTTTGTATAATTCTTAATACAGCTAAACCTCCTCTGGTTTCCGGAAACAAACTGAATCCAGTTAAATCCCCAATTTCCTTTATGACTAATATAAAAAAATGTGCATATATTATATTATATTATATATATATAATATGTATGTTATATATAATATGTATGTTATATATAATACATACAGTATGTATGTATATATAATATGTATGTTATATATAATATGTATGTTATATATACAC